AGGTTGCTCGTTTGTCAGAAGCTTCTAGGAGAGGATCGACTGGCAGCTGGAAGGGATCGCCAAAGTCACCGAGCTCTAGAAGACACAAGTGCCGCAACGGGTGCACAAGAAGGTAGCTCACCCCCTAATCCTACTATGTTGCTGGGAGATATGGCGGCACAGGAATGATGTCGTGTTCTAGAGGGCTAGAGCCAAGTGTTGATCACCTAGTCGCCACTTGCAAGGAAGCCGTGGAGACTTGGAGCTATCGAATCCCACGGAAGGAGCTCGCAATTGCGAACAATTGAAGAAATCGGCTCACTATGTAATATTTCCCCTTCTAAATTACTGATCTTGTTGTAAACTTGATGGGCTATGCCCCTCCACCCCTCGAATTACCGGCATCAGTGGAAATTAAATCACGTGGGGATTACTCTTGATCCCCGAAGTTGACCTCAAAAAGAAATCCTACCGAAATCCAAAGGCTAGCCTCTTCAACTACTACTAGTAGTAATTCCAGTGGCATTTTCGCAACAAGATACATCTTCAATTATTTTTCACATAGGGTCTATTTGCTGAGATGAATAACATTGGTGACTATGGGTCTCCTTGTCTTAGATGACCAACACGTTTGATGGTTCTACAGATATTTCCATTTACACAATCACATTAGAAGATGAGGTCTGCCAGGATTGTAGTCACCTAGTTTCTCCATTTTTGACAAAATCCAAAAGCTTCTAGGACTTCTAGTAGATAGGGCCAATTTATGGAGTCAAAGGCCTTAGAATGTCTAGTTTTATGAATAGGGTTGATCTTTTTTTGTTGTGTAGGCTTCGAATCATGTTCACATAAAGAAAATTATGGTGTATAAATCTTCCTTTTATGAATGCATTTTGTGAACATGAGACTAGCTCGTTAAACCTAAACGACAATCTTTTGGCAAGAGCCTTCATAATCATTTTCATGAAGTTGTTCATTAGGTTGATTAGCCCATAATCGCCCAGTGTCATTGCATTAACCTTCTTCAGTAGCATAACAATGTTAGCCTCATTAACCAGGTGCAACCTTGCGGTTCTAGATTGAAGAAGGCAAAAAGGGCATGCACTAAATCCTTTTCTATTATGTTCCAACATTCCTCGTTAAAAAACAGATGAAACCATCTGGCTAAGTGAAGGAGATCTCAAGGTCATGAAGATCTCTTCGATGATCAATCGAGTATGTACATCCCATCCATTGTTGTCTCGTTCAACAATCTTGTTAATGTTTTGCCAAAAGATGAACGAGAACAATGAAACCATCCAGCTAAGTGAAGCATAGCTTACGTCCCATCCCGCCCGATGCATCGTGCCCGTGCCCATCCTGCTCCACATCTCGGCCGACACGGCATCCCGTCCCCGCTGCTCTCTTGTCCGCGGCATCCATCTTCACCACATCAGGGAGCCGCAATAGGTGGACCACCGAGAGCTTAGGCTTCCTCCACACCTACATCCAGATCTACTTTTGCAACACTCGAAACAGATAAAACATTCAGAACATACACTTGCAACATCCAGATAAAACACTTGCAACATATGTTTGAAAACAGATGAAACACTTGAAATATGCTCTTGAAACATACGTGTATAACCATAGCAACATATACAACATCTAGATGAAACACTTGCAACATAAGTCTAAAAACATCTGAAACATTTGAAACATATGCTTGAAACTACGCGTATAGCCATAACAACATATGCAACATCTAGATGAAACACTTGAAACATACATTTGAAACAACTGAAATATTTGAAACTTAGGCTTGCAACATGTCCGAAAATGCCTGAAACACTTGAAACGCAGCGTCGTCGTCGGTCACGGCCTACCTTGTGGGGAACTGCGGTGGCGCAGGCCTCCCCTTCCTACGGAATGCATTAGTTGTGGTTGGGAACGCAGGCGCAGGTGCAGACGCAGGCCTCCCCAGGCGTAGGCCTAGGCGTAGGCGCGGACCTCCCCTGCCTCCCCTTTCGCGACGAGCGAGGTGGATGAGGGCACGGGCGGGAGTGAGCAACGGCATGCACGCTGGTGGCCGAGGCGCATGGAGTGGTCCGTCTAGACGGGCCGGACGCCCATGGTGTATCATTAGTGTTAGTTTTCCAACCTGTGTGCTTGAAACCGATGAAGTTTTTCTTTTGACGGACGTTTGCATGTAATTGGAAGAAGCGAGAGTTCGTGTCCCCTTCCAGATCCAAGTTAATCTCTAACATTGACGAGCACATGCCCTCTGGATGGAGGCAAGATCTAGGGCTCTTGACTCGAGATATCTTTGGAATTGCAATTCTTCCTCTTCCGTCGTCAAAATCTGGGTTTCTTGTGTTCTTTGTAGCAGCAAAAATAGGACTTGCACTAAGGCCATGGGCGGCGGCAGGGGTATGCCCTTGTATGCCAAGGCATACCCAAAATTTGGGAGACAAAATTAATATGTATATATACACACTAATACACAGGTTTATACGTATCTTGTTACATTCCCTCGTATGCCCAATAGAACAGTCATTTCCTACAGCCCACGAAGGAAGCCCAGAATACATTCTGCGTGACTCCATCGCCCCGCTGCAACACGAGCACGGAGCACCTCCCACACTCCGGCGACCGGCACCGCCGGGCAGCACCTCGCCACCTCCCCCACTCCGGCCGACTCGCCCCTTGCCCTCCACCTCGCCGGCTCACCCGGTCGCCCGCTGCGGCCCTGCCCTTTTCCCTGCTGCGGTTGCCTCCTCCCAGGTCCCAGCGCGAAGGAGCCAGCCACTGGCGACAGCGGCGCCCCTTCTGCAGCACCTTCCGGCGACCGGCGCCCTCCCCCTTGGCCTCGGCACTCAGCAGCTTCAAGCAAGGTGAGCAGAGAAGATGCAGAACACCCCAGAGCCTAGATCCACTCCTTAGTGGTTCAGTGAGCTAATGAAAAATTCTTTTTCTAATTCTCTTGGTTGTATTCTTAATTTTTGTAATGTAGATGAAGAAGAAGGGTGTTAACATATTTGCAACGTGGGAGAAAGCTGCAGAGGCAAAGGGAAAGGGAAAAAACCCCTCCGCATCCACACCAAATGCTCATTCCGTTGAGATTGAGAGTAATGGAGCAATATGCAGTTAGCACTTGTGCTAGCACAGAATGATGGTGAAGCTCCCCAACTTGTGCCAATACGGAATGATGATTTATTTATGTTTCGAACTTGTACTTTGGTTATTATTATGGATTTGTTTTGGCCGTTATAACTTATCGTCTTGTTTCGAAATTTTATACATGTGGCATACCCAACCGCAAATTCCTGGCTCTGTTGTCTAAGTTGGCTGACTAAGGCCAACTGTAAAGCAATATTCCCATTGTTTTGCCTTCTCCATATATTGATTGCCTTAGCCGTACAATGCATTTTGACGTGCATGCACAGAATTGCGTCTTGTTGAATCTGTTAACTGGTTGTTGCCAGGTGTCTTGTACAGTATCCATGGAGCAAGACATGGCGGTCCAGAAGGCTTCAAAACGAAATTGATGATAGAAGTCATGCATATTCGGTTTTGCCTTGCATAAATAAGCTAGGGGGCGTTATCAGAGCTAGAGATGCAAGCTCGTAAGCCATTGTTGGGGAAAAGCTTGTGCCACTCTGACTCTAGTGAACACCGGTTGGTACATCTACTCCTGCAAACACACACAAAGAACACTAGCGCATACAGTTAGCTGCAAAGAAGCGTAGAATGGTAAGTAGCTCGACTAGGACGTCCACTCCGCCAGGCGGCAGAGAGCACTAAACAATCACAGAAAGCATGTGCAAGCAAAAACAACGAACTGTATGAAATTAGCAACTGAATGATCATGCACGGGAAGTGTTTTCTGCCAAGTGCCAACGATCAGAATGGCCGTTTTAAATGTTTTGTACTTGACATTTGGACTTGGGTCGCCAGTTTTTTTTTTTTTTTTTTTTTTTTTTGCGACGACTTGGGCCGCCAATTGGATCGGTCATCGGTAGCAGGACTAGACAGTACACGGCATCTTTCAAGAAGATAGTGTATATATCGATCGATAATTGAGAAAACAGCCGGTGGCGCAAATTAGTGTTCTGCAGTTAAACTCTCATTGTGCCGGATTCTTTAAAATCCAAATGGGAAAGATCTTCAAATAGGTCGACATGCATGCGGAAAAAAAACGACAGTCTGGTGGAGAGAAAGGGATCGAGTTGGCTTGATTTTCGTTGGAATGTAATAACCGCGTGAGAAAATCAGAAAATGAGTTGGCTTATTTTCGTTGGAATGGAACCACGTGAGAAAAACAGAAAATGATCGAGCTTCTGATATCTTGTTGGGTAAGTGCGGGCCGTGCGTACCTTGCTTCTGGTGCTGTCCAACTGAATCCGCAACCCAGCCCAGAGACCCATATCCGCCACAGCCATCCTCCGTGACGACCACCGTCCTCCCAAAGTCCCACGTCTCGTCGGCCGCGAGCACACGAGTTGCGCCCGCGCCCACCGGCTGGCCAGCGCTCACACGAACGGCGCACGAACTCGGTTCAGAATTCGGAATGAATGCTTGCAACCGAACGCATCGCCTGCTCGCGTAGCCTATGTGCGCTATCTCCTTCTCTGTGGTTAATTAGCCAGATGCAGCCATGAATCAACACAGCACAGTCGCTGATTTGGTTGCCCAGACGCCGCTACAGCCTACAGATCGACGTTGAAAGCATGGCGCTTGGCGCGTAGTACGCTAGAGCCAAGAGCAGATGCGGCTGAGATGCGTCACGTGTGCCCGGTTCACGTGAAGCTCTCTGACACCAGCTTTTACAGACAGACATTCTCCTCTCTTTCTTTCCGATCTCATCTCATGTCAACGACAGCAACAGTGTCCAGTCAGTGACTGTCAACGCTACCGTGCATTTACCCCTTTTACCAGGGTCGTTGTCTTTTACGTACACCTAGTAAGAACTAACAAGAGTATACGAATGGCAGAACTAAACAAAATGAATGAAATCTATAACCCTTTCCCGTCGCACGCTGTCACTGCTGTGTCTGTATTTGGACCCAGATCCCCTCGCTGGGGACGTGCCCGTTCACCACGAACAGCATGTAGTACCCCGGTGGCGCCAGCACCGCCGTCGCCGGCATCGTCACCGACGCATTGAACGTGCCGGCTCGGCCCCGCACCGCCACATTCTTGGTCACGTCAAGGAACAGTAGCCGCTGGTTCATCGTGAACGAGTGCGTCGTGAAGGATGGCGCCACCATCGTCACCGACATGTCTCCGAGGCCCGCGGCGCCGCCACGCCTTCTCCGCGCCGATGCCGGGACCGAGAACTGGAGCGCCGCCGTTGCGCCGTATGCCACGCTCGTCGCCGCGCCGGTGGGGGACGGCTCGAGGATCCTCTGCCGGAGCATGTCGTTGGACGCGTCGAGGTACTCCGGCGAGAAGGCCTCCAGGCTGAGGTCGGTGGGGAACTGCACGTTGCTGAAGTTGTAGTAGGTGTGCGGGTTGCTGCCGCCCACCAGCAGGTGGCCGTCGCGGAGGAGCACCGCCGAGGAGTGGTACAGCCGCGCGACGCCCGTCGCGGTCTGCTCCTCGAACCGGTCCCCCAGCGAGTGGTCGGGACGGTAGACGATGGGCGCATACACTACTACAGAAATAGTACTTTACTGTTGGCCTCATCTCTGCCGGAATTAAGAGAACCGGCAGTGTTGACCCTTCATTGTCAGTTCTTTACTCTAAAAACCAGAATTTGATTTGGGATGTGACCGAACCGACAGTGATGACAACTATCACCGTCGATTTGTGTCTCTAACCGGCAGTGGCTTGATGACCACATATCACTACCAGTTCAAGCCAAGAGCCGACAGTGATTGGACTTTATCACTGTCGGTTCTATCCAGGAACCGACGGTGATAAGCCTATAGCACAAAAAGGCTGCAGCCGTCCTCTCATTCCTCCTCTCTTCCATCCCGAGAACAGAGGCGCACGTTTTGGCCCTTCCTTCCATTGTTGTGGTTGCTCTTTACCATGAAGCTAGCGCTTGGATTTTAAAGAATGGCTTGATCTTTTTGCTTTAACGTTAGTAACAAATATCCACTCCTTTGATTTTGTTGCTTAATTAGCTTCGTTTTGATGGCTACATTACTTGATTCTCATTTTCTTTCTTCATTCTAGAGAGTACTTTTTTCAATTGGACATTTGTGCAAGGCTCAAATTATGGTGAATCCATCATCCAAAAGATTGGTGTCTATGAACATATTTAAATTTCTAGCTAATTATTTCATGGTGGTCAAGATCATCATTGTTAGTGTGTGATGCTATAATTAGTTCTTAGAAGTACAGTAGATTCTTTTATAATTTGTTGACAAAATTAATCTATGTATCACATAACAACGTATTGTTTGGAGCTACATTGTTGTTCATGATCATGTCTCCAATTTTAGACTTATTTTTAAAATTAGTGTCTTTATTTTTACGTGGCATGGAGTAGAATAATTGTTCTTCATTATTGTGCAATAATTTTTTTATGGGGCTGTGCTTTTCAATTTATATGGGCATTATTTGGAGCTACATTGTTGTTCATGATTATGTCTCTAATTTTAGTATTTTTTTTAAAATAAGTGTCTCCATTTTTATGTGGCATAGAGTAGAATAGTTGTTCTTTATTATTGTGCAATAATTATTTTTTTACTTCGATTTTTAATTTACAGGGCCGGGGTTACCAATTTCAATTTTACAATAATTAGTGTACAACAATATTTTCCAAAAATGGTACTTTCGAGCTACAATTGTTGTTCATGAAGCTCGATTTATTATTAATTCTTTGTAATTATTGTCTCAATATTTTTTTGTGCAAAGATGGATTGAGAGTGGATGCATCTGTTCTGAACGGACAAGTGGTACATGCATGGCGTCAGCCAGTTTATCACCAATGTCAAAGCCCATGCTGGGAATAGGAACCCTGTCTTTTGCCCATGCAAAGATTGCAAGAATAAAAGGAACTTTCGTCAAGCTTGATTAAGCTTGACCATCAATTGTCCTCTGATGATGAGGACGACCGCGAGTCTTCGCCCACCCGCCATGATCACTCACCATCTCTCAACAGAGATCACTCCCCTCCTCATCTCTTGCCATCACCCCCAAGAAGACAGATGTTTCCTTCTATTCCTTCTCGTCCGACTCCATCTTCATCAGCCCCGAGAAAAGAGAAGACTCCTCCTCCATCTTTATCAGTCCCGAAAAAACATAATTCTCATCGTCATCCTCCTCCTCCACCTCAGCTCAAAACAAGATCAAAGACATCCTCGCAGTCATAGAAAATGTCTTTGGATTCGGTCGCTAATGCTCCCAAAGTGGACCAACAAAAAAACAAAAGGCCGTTCAGTGGCAGCATTACAAACTTGATGAAAGAAAAATTTACAGCACACATCTCAAAGGAAGATTGTGTTAGTTTCTTCAATCTCTGTGTCTCACTGTCTCAGTGTTTGTTGAAGTCCGAATTCAAAAGGTAAACATAGAATAAGTACGCTACAATAAGAGCCGAAGAAATATACAATGAAGATTTAAGGAAGATACAGAAGTACGTCGAAGACAACCCCGAATTAACCATGGAAGAGGCCATGAACATCTATTATGATGTATAAGTGACGGGAACACCGGCAATGAAGTATGAAAGGGCCAATCTTTTGGTTCCCGATGACGAGTATAAAAATTTGACAACATATATGCGTCATTTGCATGAATATTACATAGCTCAAGCAACAGAGATAGAGGACTTTGGTTTTGAGGTTATTATCCGTTCGCCACATGTTTTTCATTATCCTAAAGAAGAGAAGTTCGATGTCGAGTGGGAGTGTTTGTTCCAACTATACCAGAACAGCTCTCGATTCACAAATGTTGACGGTGTGGACTATGTAAGTACCCTACACACACGATATTACAATTAACTACTCTCTCGAGACACAAATTGTTAACTTTTGAGCACTTCTCATGATTTTATGTAGGTGTATAGCAAAATTTTGCATACTAAAAAGCAAATGGGATAACATAGGCTTCTTAAACCCCGGGCGAGTCAATGAGAAGATGTGTTTAGGCCTCCATTGTGGCAGAACTGCCTAATCTAATGTCTCACAGGAGTGCTCGTCTTCCATTAGACACTAAGCACTAAAGGGAGATCACCAAATCACGTGGTCCCGTCGGGCACACTCCAGGGGAGAACCCAAAAATCCATATTTTTCCATTAGGATCATAAATGAGAGAATAAAGCATACATCATTCTTGACTATTTCTTACATCACTTTTAACACAATATCAGGGTATAATAGTTATTGTATAATAGCGGAATGTAATCATATTATCAGAGTTATGAACAATTTAAGTTACAACGGAATATAAACATGTCATCAGAATTACAGCGGAAATAGATATTTATTCATGACATGATGAAGCATTGATATATAAACTATGACAACAGATTATAAAACTTTCATTTAGAAAATATTTAGTGAGAGTTATAATTAAAAACTATGATCGTTGCGTAAAAGAATCCTCTCTGAGCCCACCAGGAGGAATCCACACATAAATGTTAGCTCTAGCCTCCACCTGTCCTGCAACAGGGGAAAATAAAACCCTGAGTACTCAATTGTACTCAGCAAGACTTACCCGATAGGAGGAAAGAAAAGACTCCAAGGATATGTAAGGCTATCTGGCTTATGGGTTTATTGCATCTGCAGGAAGCAGTACTAAAGGTGTGTCCTTATAATCGATTGTTATTAGCAGTGCATTAGTTTTTAACTAACCATTCTATTTAAGCACGTGTACTATTTTCAAGCAGGTGGTAAGCAATCAGAGTTTTTTTTTCATCTTTCATCTTTCAGTTCTTACTACGGTGCTAGAGTTAAGACAAGTTTTACCGTATTGCCCGACGATTCGTGAATCAATGCCCCCATCTGGGTACCCTAAAAACACATACCCCGCTTGTACCCCAGGCACAAGCAGGACCAACCCACTACCCTCCTGTCACGGGGTCCAGGTCCCCGTCCAAATTGGGACTCCAAGCCCCCACCCCTGAGTCTCGGACTCAGTGCGGTGCAAGGACCTCCTAACCCAAAAACTACCAAGACAGTCGATCCGGAAAGAGCCAGAACCCATGACAAGAGAGTAACAAGTATTCCAAGCGCACATACCTAAGTATGTGCTCGGAATAATAAGTCTGTGACTTGCCTAGCGTCTTATGCAACGGCCGGTCCTTAACCGACACAGACAGGGAACGCAGTGTAACCAAGCTATGCCCCGTGGCCGCAGGACACAACCCCTTACACCCACCAATACCTAAACCATATCCCTACCCGGTCACCATTTTTCTTGCCACCATTTATATTTTCCAAGTGATAATAATATAGTAATATATATTTCATATCTCTTACGAGTGACAGACAATCACTCGACTTCTATTGAAGTCCTGTAGCATAGCAATCTATACGATCCTATCATACTAGTAAGACTCATAGGATAAACATATATATGCCAGTGGGTTTCAATCAACTCCTTAAAACTTAATGCACAGATATAATTTAGACGGTAGAAAAGTAGAGGTTATGCACCGGAGCTAGTCTGGGTAAGATATATATTAAAAAAATAGTATCTGCATCTTCAGATCATCCACCATCAACTGAATAGAAAGCCCATTGCATCATCTCCTAGAGAGAATACCATTACACCATCCTTAGATTCTCAATCGTCCTTCAATTGATCCGTTGACCCATCATCGTACCTATATGATATGCATTGATGCAAATACATAGATGTAAATAATCAACGACAACAAAAATGCTTAGAAATCCGATCACGCCTCACAAGCTAACGAGATAGCTCTAACGCCGATCTACGTATCAACATCGTTGAGAAAGGTGTCATTCTCCAACAAGTGTTTTAGTTATAAAATTTCAAGGTGTTTCGTTATTCCGTTCTATCGATTTAATCTTTATTCGAAATAGGGCATTATTATCTATCTAGCAAACTAATTATTCTAGAGCTACAAAATTACAGTGAGCAGCTAATAATATTAGGAATTTACTGTAAAAATTTTATAGCTAACACTATCACCAATTTATTACAATAATTCCTATAATTTATATTTTTATAATATTAATTATCTCAAATTAATTATATAGCTTCCAAGAACATTATCCAACTATGTGAAAAAATATACTAGAGGATAGACCATAATTTTAGAAGACTAACAAAATTAGTTTGGCATTTTTACGATTTTTCTATGATTTACTACGAATTTTACAAGTTTATTTCCGAAGCAAAATCAACAAATGCTTAGAAACTAAAGGGCCAGCGGCCCGCAAGCATGCGCACAGCCCAACGCAGAACGGCGCATGCAGTCTAGAGGAGCCGGTGGCCCAGACGGCGGGGCGCGTGCGGGTGGGAGCGGCCCAACTAGAGCGGCGACACGCTGGCCCAGCGAGGCGCGCGAGAGGCCTAGGCGGGCAGACATTGGCCTAGGCGCGGGCGCGGCCCAGGAGGCACCAGACCGGCCCAGGCGCCAGACTGGCGGCCCACCGGTGCGCACGAGGCCAGCCCAACGCGATGGCAGTTTTGCAAAAACATCCCTACATTTATATCTATTTGTTACGCTATTGTTCATATGAGTCATCCAATTCGTAGCAATCACCCTAGAATGAGCGGTCGGCGGTCAATCCCGGCCGAGGAAGGCATGGCAGCGGTGGGAACTCGCCGGTGAGGGGCACGGGAGCCCACTCGACCACGCCTAGCCACGGCAAGACCCGAGTCAGCCCCCAGCACCCCGCCCGCGCGAGCCGTGGTGGCGGGCACGGCGGCTGCAGCGACGCCGGCTGGGCGCACGGCGGCAACGGCGCCGCGGAGCAGCAGACCTAGCGCGCCCGAGGGGCTCATGCTCATAGGGAGACCGACGGCGGTGGGCGCGGACAATAGCTGGCGAGCCATGGCTTCTCGATGGTGCAGGCACGAGCGCCTGCGGGCTATGCCCTGGGCAGATGCTGTGGGGCAGTGCGGCTGGCGAGGGCAGGAATGAGGAAGGCGGCGCGACAAGGCGGCTCCACGGCTCAGGCGGCCTGGCGCGCCAGCGCACGCGGGCGGCGATTGAAGCGATCACGGCGGGCGTGGGGGAGCGAGTCGAGTGAAGCCACGCGTGGCTCCTATGAGCGGAAGGAGAGCAGCATGGTGCTGCGGCCGGACGGCCCTACGGTGGAGGCGCGCCAGCGGGTGAGCAGTGCGCGCACGAGGGCGCCAAGTCGGCGGCGGTGCTCGCACTCGAGGCTCGCGGCCATGGCCTGCTACGGGACAGCGACGTGATGCTGCGGTACAGAGTGGGGAAGGGAGGGGCAGCACGACAATGGGGCGCGCGCGAGCTGCGCGAGCAGCGGAAAAGAGGGGAAAAGGGAGAGATAGGTCTGGCACGGCTTGACTTAGCCCAAAAAAACACTCAGAGACAGAGGCAGACAGAGGCCACAGGAAAAACAAGGAGACACGTGTGGGCTCGTCATCAATTTCAAGCACGACGAGGGGAGCAGGACGGGACGGCACGACGCGGCCAATACTGGCGAGCACAGGAAGGTGAGAGGACCTGGCGTGGGTAGGGGCAGAACCACGTGCACCAATTTCTAAAGCCCAGCGCAGTGGACCAGTTCAGATGCGATTGGATATGAGGCTTTGCAATGCTGAGAAATGCAGAGCCACGACGAGAACGAGACAGTGATCAATAGCAATGTCAGGCGAGTACGCTGCATGCCGCGCCAGAAAAGTAAATGAAGCATGCAGAGCTATTGCGCTACCTCTCGTCTACTACGTGCTTTCACACCACTCACGTGAATTTATGAAGCGGCTAGACGGGCAGCGGCGTCGTGGGTACGTTACTAAATTATCATAGGAACTAAAACGAGTCTATACGTAAAAACATAAGCATGCCACTAGACCAAAACTTTTCAACTGAGCGTGCTTATCAAAATAAACACGTGAGTATGTATATATATACCTACAAATATTTCTATCGGTTTACTAATTTTGACAATTAGCAACATTTAGGCACAAAGAGATTTTCAACAAGTTCGAATTTAAATTAGATTCGAAAGCTATATATATATCGTTCTATTTATTAATAAATTTCATTTTATTTATAAAAATTGTTTTTCATGCTTAATCTAATAGAACAAACCGTTCGCTATTTATTTGCTAAAATTATTGTCAGACATTCCTAAAATTTCACCTGGGCGTTTATGTGAGTCCACTAAACTAAGTCACACAGGATTCGCTTATCGCCTCAAGTATGTTTTAAATCCAAAAGCCGAGAAAACTCACTTCGAAAATTTTTCTAAGGCCTAAATCGCGGTGCTAAACAAGCTCGTAACACCAGAGGTGTTACATCCATGGATGTGACGTGGAAGACCTGAAAGAGAGATTGATTGCTGTTTTCGATGAATTCAAGATGAAGAACAAAACTCACATACTTCTAGCCTACAACTGCGAATATGTGTTCTCGGCTTTTAATTTTATGCTTCTTTTTTCGTTAAGATTATTCGATAATTAGGATTCTGTGATTGCTACAACCATTTTATCTTCATGTGTGTCAATCTTGCTAAAAATCTGATCGAGGTGTGGGACTCGAAAAAAAAACTATTTTATCATATGGATGCACCGGTGGCAGTGTTGAATTAGTAAGCGATCCTAATAACATATTATTTTCTAATCACACATACCGCTTTCTAATGTTTCTTCTTTTAATGTTGCACAGTGTCCGAAGAAGACATATTGGTGGGACGCAGGTCCCATTTATGGTTGTCGAAATGGAGGGGAAGTACGTAAAACAGCCGGCGGGAAACAATGAATGCGGGTTTTATGGAATGTGGGCAGTGCTTCACTACATCGACGAGAAATCGGAAGAAGCATATAAGTTGGTGTGTATAATCTCTATTTCATTTATGTATGTTAATAATTCAACAAAATGATTTACTGATTCCTCTCTGGATATCATCTTTTTTGAACGACAGCGCAAGTAATATAACCACGAAAGGCTGTTAGACATGGAAATAGTCGCACTGCAATCTGAGCTGGCAAAATTCATCTTAGCCGAGGTATTAGAAAAAGATGGAGTATTTTCCATTGCACAATCCGTGAAATTCATTATTGTAAGAAGTCTGAGAAGCATGCTTCATCTTATCGAATAATTTCTTTTTTATTTTGAGGGATCGAGATCTTATAAGAATATTTAAACTGTAACCGTAACATTTATAATGTTTAATATTGATGAACCTGTCGTCTACGTAGCGCATATAAAGCGAAATTCGATTTCACGAAAAATATAAATTAAAATAAATTATAAAACAATAAAATACAAACTACAAACCGGCAGTGATGGCCAAGATGGCACTGCCGGCTTGAGCCATAAATCGGCAACGTTGGATTAGCCATCACTGTCGGGTCTTGTCACAAACCGGCAGTGCTAGTTACGACAACACTGTCGGCCAAAAATATAAACCGACAGTGATGTTCGTGGTTACACTGCCGGGTGGTCTCATTATCGGCAGTGTTGGTTGAACTGAACTCTGCCAGGTTGTGTGAAGGACCGGTAATAAAGTTAAAGAACACTGCCGGTTTGTAGGAACCGACAGTGATAGCTAATCTTCATCATTGGCGGTATGGTTGTGCCGGTTTAAAATCCGATAGTGATGGGGTTTTTTAATCCGACATTGTCCTGATCTTGGGTAGTGGTACGCCGGGGTATTGGCGGACTCCCACCCACGGTGTTCTCCGCGGCGCCGTTGATGATCGCCACCTCCGTGCCGTTGGGCAGCAGGATCATGTCGCCCATCACCCGCGGCAACGGCATTGTCTCGATGACCCACGCCGGAGCGGCGTCGGTGATCTTGATCCACCCGCACGTCGTCAGCGCCGCCCTTGGTGGCGTTGTAGGAGCCCGCTGGCGCGCCGCCGCAGACCAGCACCACGGCCTCGGTGGGGTTGGGTTTCAGTGGGAGCAGCATCGAGGAGCCCGAGCTGGGGTAGGTCCGCGGGTCGCCGTCGCCCAGCACGGGGTACGTCCGCACGATCTTGTTACTCTTGTAGTCCAGGAGGACGGCGCGGTTGTTGGAGAAGATGAAAAGGTTGCCATCTATGTTGAGGTGTACGAACGGATAAAGATTGTTCTCCTCGGAATCCTTGGTCTGCACCAAAAATGGCATTTGGACGATGGACGTATCCGAAGGGCCGGCCTTCGGGTAGAACTCGTAGCTGAACTGCCTCCGGCCACCGAAGATGAACGCGCAGCACGCGGGCATGGTGCGCGCGTTGCGGAACCCGTCGTTCCAGTCGCCGGTCTGGACGAGCGTGCCGTCGGGCGCGACGGTGCCCGAGGAGCACCAGGTGTCGGTGAAGATGGAGAGCGGGCGGAACGCGTTGGCGGCCACGTCGTACTCGGCGGAGTGCGCGGTGCAGTCCCCTCGAGGGAGCACGCTCTCCCGCGGGTTGACGCGGCAGCGGTCGTCGGGGAGGCACCACTAGAGAAACGAGTTTTAGTTTCGGTTGGGAAGGCTTTAGTCCCGGTTTTCCCAACCGGAACTAAATTCCCAGGACTAAAGGTCTTAGTCCTGGGTTTGGAAACCGGGACTAAAGGTCACTCATAGAAGAAAAAAATAAAGGAAATCATCGAGGCCTCGCTCGCTCTACGTGAGATTCGAACCCAACACCTCTCTCTACGTGTTACCAATCGGGACTAAAGATGACTTTTAGTCCTGGTTGGTATTACGAACCGGGACTGAAAGTCCTTTAATCCCAAACGCAAAAAATATCGAGACTAAAGGCTAAAATCGAAGTGGATGAAATGTCTGTTTCCTATCGGGAGGGAGAGGTTGGAGGGGCCGAAGTCGGTGCGGTCGAAGATGTTGACGCGGTCGTTGTGCAGCAGCTGCATGTGCATCGCCGACACCCCGATGCTGAGCTGCAGGAGGTCCCACCTCCCGCCGCCGGCGCCGCTCGCGGGCGCACTGTCGCCGGCGCAGGCGCAGGCGAGGAGCAGGAGAAGAACCACCGCGGGGTGGCGGGCACGGTTCTTCTTGTTCTTCGCTACTACCAATGTACTAAGCTGCATGGTTGATCGAACGATGGGACAGGCACAGGTTTGTACGTAGATGTAACGATACTGCGTCGTTTCAGGGACAGGTTTCTTCTTTGATTCTGTTTTCTAGGTTAAGCGCGGGTGTTTAGCTCCTGAGCAGCAAAACTTATATATATATGTATATATATATATATGCAGCAGTGCACAAGGTTTGACCATTTTTGCCCCCTGGTTTTCATTTTTCACACGGTAACAGTAATAAACCCTCCAGCTAGGTAACGCGTTTATGATGGAATTTGGTTCAGACGCTCGAGTGAGCTTTGGCCAGGTTGGGATTTTTTTTTATAGTAAGTACGATTTTTATTTGGTCGATTGATGGCCCTGCATTAATTAACTTCACTGATGTTTGGTTTTCGGTATGTATTCATGAGTCCACGACCACCAACCATTCCAGCCCGGTAATTTGGCCCGACCGTCGTGCGTCGTTCGTCCCTGTTTTTTTTTTTTTTTTTTTTTTGTGGTATAGAAGACCGGAGTACGTACTTCCCTGCTGAGTGCTGACCCATCCAAGACTCCGCAGACCGCGACGACTACGTGGGACTCCGTTGATATAGTTAGGATTAACAAGGAGAAACCGTGCACACCTGAACAACAGCAGACGGACCCCCCTCATTGCGTCGCGAGACGAACGAAAGCGCCCTGGACAAGCCAAGCTCGCAAACGATGGTCGTGTAGTATCGTGCTAGCCCCATCCCCACCCCCACCCCGCGCAGGCGCGCAACATGACAGGAGTAAGCAAAGATGAACCACGGGCCACACGGCGACGGCCCTACCACCATAGTCCATAGCTAGGTGCCGCGGGTTGGAAGAACCACGCGCGGCGGCTCACGTCGTCGCGTTGCGTTGCTTTGCCTTGAGGCTTGCTGGACGCTCCCACGCCCCACGTGCATGTTGGCATGTGGCCACATGCGGCAGAGAGAGAGAGAGAGAGAGAGAGAGAGAGAGAGAGAGAGAGAGAGAGTATCCGCTGGCCCGGTCGGACCGTAGCGTAGCGTGGCCGGGTAGGGTTACATGCATGCATACGGCGCATATGGTTTTTTCGTCTTTCGTGTGGTGCCCTGGAACCGGAAGGAAAAGGAGGTAGCAACAAACGGCGGAACGTGACGCAAACCAACAGTGGATGTGTTTTTGGATTGGATGGCCGAGCACGGGCGATAGAGCACCGCGCGCGCCGGGGCTGCATGAGGGCCCTTGGCGTTTATGGCGCTCACGGCTCACCAAACCGAGCGGCGGTGCAGCCTAGCCTAGCCATGCCGCCGAGCTGGAGATTTGGTTCGTTTTTAAAACTGGCATCAATGATATGCGATCCATTCAGCGTTTGACTCAACTCTGACATCGATTTATATTAAGCGTTTGAGTTAACTCTTACATCGATTTGTATAGCGTAGCTTACAAACTTAGCAAAAATTATTTCTAACGACATACACGGTGGCATACATACGTTATCTCATATATAGCGTAGCTAGCCGGGCTATACGTTTCGCTGTTAGTGTACTTGCACAAGACTTTCATTTCAGCCCAACCCCATAATTATATATGAAGAATGTAAATCAGGGCTCTAGATTGTAATCTAAATACTTCCACATATATATATACACATATGTATATACTTCCGTATCAAAGCTACCCGAAAGTAAATACGTTCTCTATATACATATAAATATGCATACACATTCGTATCAAAGCGAACCCATAATTAAATACCTCCGCATATATAAGAGACATATATATACTTTAGTATCAAAGCTAACTCTCCTCATAGACCGCACGCTCACAACTTGCGGTTATGCCACTGTGATGATGATTGGCATCTTACCTTCGGCGTAGAGGCATTTGATCCATATATTACCACTCAGGTGAATGGCATCCATACGATAGCACGCCGTATGGACGACGAAAATAAAAACCCCCAAGTTAGTACTTAATTAGCCACCTAAAGTCCTTAATTGGGCATAAAGGAAGTGATCACTGGCACACTTTAGATTTCAACTCTGGATTTCAAACACCTATTTATATAGCTATTAGTTGCTAGAAACTGGTTTTGGAAAAACAAAAACCTTTGTTTTAAATATACATGTGGCAATTAATGTTGAATCTTGCTATGATGCCAGCTGTCGTAGAACCGACCAATTTATAAGAGCACAAGTACAATGGCAACCGACAAGCAGTCGCACTGTCATACTTGAGCCCATATAGGCCCCGTTCACCTGCCCTTAAAATCAGCCGGAATTCATTGTTCACGGCTGAAAAACACTGTCCACTCTCTCACAAATTCCTCCAGATTCATCCAAAATTCTCCCAACGAACAGGGCCATAAACCCGGTAGTCCGTCGAGTACCACGACGGGTCTCGATTAACGATCCACATACAACCAAGATCATACATGATTCAACATACATGTCACATGTTACATAAGGTTCACAAATATAGTTCATTCATCAGAGTACGAAATAAGGTTATTACAAACCAAGTTCGGTAAATAGTGGCGGAAACAAATTAAAGTTCGAAACTAGCATTTGTCAACATAGTTCAAATACAGTGCCAACTCATGATCACAATCCATAAAAGCATAGAAGAAGGATTATTAAAGATGCCTGCCCAGGGCTCACTCCTCATCCACGGTGGGACAGAAGTAGTGCTTGCAATAGCCGTGATAAATTGTACCATCTGCAACAATGGGAATAAAACCCTGAGTACGAGAAGGTACTCAGCTAGACTTACCCATCATAAATCAGAAATAAATTAACTCCAAGGTTTATGCAAGGCTTTATAAGTGGAGGTAGCTTGACAACATTTTGCATAAAAAGCGATCAACTCAGTTATACAATTATACTTTGGTCATCAAGTTAATTATCGCTATTCATCTCTAGATTAGCAACTAACTTGTGCCAAACATGTGGTATGTCATTTGATAGCATACAATAGTAACCATAGCCGGTGTAGTAATTTACATGTTCATCCGAACCATCACATTTCATAATACAATTACTACGATGTTGGAGCTAGCCAAGTTTCTCACTGTTCGGGAGAGACGACGATTCGAATCGTTTTCAACCAGCTGGGAATTTATTCCTAACACAAATCCAGACAGACTAGATCAACGGTCATCTTAGGTCACCTTTGGTACAACTCAGGTACACATTTCGCGGGTTCGACCAGCACCGCACAATCAAGGACAACCAGCTACCAGGACGATCAGGGCTACCCTGCCCTTGGGCTCATGGCTGGCTCTCCGTACATCCTTACTACCATCTAGAGTGCGCACTTTTACAAAACGGGGCCTGGCCTGAGTTGAGCTACTCGGTTTCGCGGTCGGAACGAGTTATCCGGCCAGCTAAGTGATAGACATGCGTTCAATCTTATCAGAAGTGCCAACAACGGTACAGTTCTTAATCGGCATAGACAGAATCATATGAGTCAACCTACAGATAGACTCCGCCCGGCCTCCATTTACATTACCCTATGGTTCTTTTTCACGATAGCAAATATAGTCAATCGTGTTTCGGTATCCACCTATATCTCGCAGGTGATAGGAAATCACCCGACTTCTATCGGTCTAAGCATGGCTAAGCATATATTCGATCCTGGACCTACATAGGGTTAAAAGTATATGTATCTGGACAAGGTAGTTTCATGCATCAAGTGTTTTCAATCAACTCTTATAACCTAATGCACCAAACATAAAGCACTCAAGTAATATTTTGTAAAAACATGGGAGACTTAGAATGCTCTGGGGTTTGCCTTTGAGGAAAGAGGTTGGCCGGTGATCCGAGCACTCAGGGAGATCTTCAGGAGTCTGCTCCTCTTCTCCTGGAGCTGCGGCTTGGGGCGTCTCCTGCTGATCCCCTTCCTCTTCTTCGTTGAACTCCAACAGCGTTATCTCTTCGGACGATCCTAAATACATGAGCATGGAATAAGATATCACGAATACATATACGATGACACGTATAATATGATATGACATGATGAATGCATCCCCATAAGTGTTTTCAATAGCATGGTATTAAATTAATAACAAATGCATCTTATTTTACAGAGTAGGTGCATATCTCATCTCTACTACTTAAGTAAACACTTCAGTAAATCATTTTCTTGACTACAAGACAGTAGCTACTTATTTTGACCCTAACTGGAGTTATATACATCGGAATAATATGGTTGTGGACATTCTAGAAAGCTTATAAAATTGTCTATAACTTTGTTTTAATACCCTTGATGTGATTCAACAGTTATCTAGGTCAAACAATTTAGTTATTCAAATCTGTCTAGAGAGCAAGCATTTCGGACAACAAACTTCTAACAGCCAAAACTTTTAAACCCTAAGGCCTATGAATACGAAAATTTAACACAGGGTAGATCAGTAAGTTATCTACAACTTTGTTATTAATAAGTTTTACAGAAAAGACCATTATCACCATGAAATTATCAACTTAACCAAAACTATACATGCAACCATCTAGTTGAATTATAAAGCCATAATTAATTAGTTGCATACAACCAATTGCTTTTAGACCTTAATACTAATATCAACAGTTCATATGTATCACAAGTACCATAGAAAATATCATAGTCAAGCATAATTTATTTATTTAAATGCCTTTATTAATTTAATTAGATAATTAGGTGATATAACAAACATATACCAAATGTGCACAATAAATTCTCATAAATTTACAGTAGCTTCCAAGTGCTCCCAATAGACTACTGTAAACATTTTATACCATTTGAACATGTATAACATCCTCTACAAAAAAACAAGCTAGCAAGGTTTATTTTAGTGAAAATAGTTAACCCTATAGAAAAGTGTCAAACAACAGATTTTATCTTTTTCTTCGCTTCATCCTAGTGCCATAATATTGTACAAAAATTTGCATGGCAAGATGTTACTTATTTTTATCCCTATAATTTTCCTCAGAAAACACCATTTATTAATAGATAAATAGAAAGACCCTACTTCAATCAAGTATACTGCA